AGAATATTGTAACTTTGCCTGAAAGCCAGGAACCTGGAGTTTAGGCTCAGATGCTACTTTTGACTTAGAACTTATCTCTGTTGCTCTCAGGTAAGTCAAATTATTTTTAAGTTTTATCTTCTTCATTAGTAAAGCGGATAATATAGTAGTTTCTGCCTCAGAATAAAGATAAACAAAGCAATTCCTAACTACCTCGCAGTTTTTCAAAGGAAAAATATATCTTTATAAGTCTATTTTTGTCAAGTCTTGCATGGTTCTAGTAGCATGTCAAATTGAGTTTTATATATTTATTTATTTTATTTTTTAGCTGACATGGGTTTTGCAAGATTATTCAATTCTCCTCTAAAGCCACTAGCAGATTTGGATCCAGTAGTTGTCACATTTTGGTATCGGGCTCCAGAACTTTTACTTGGTGCAAGACATTATACAAAGGCCATTGGTAAGTTGTTCTAAAATTATTTACAAGCTTGACATTGAACTTTCATAAGTACAAAATGGTATAATCATAAAGCTAGTTGGTAAAAACCACTTTTATCACTTTTTGAAAGTCCTATTGTCTTTTATGTTCCTGGATTTTACATTCTAGTAGATTGGGGTTTTTAACTGTATAAGAGAATGTTTTTAAAAAGAATGAATTTTCTTTCAGAGGCATCTGATCCTGGTGAGTTCATGTGGAAACAATAACAGCAAATCTTACTTTATACTTGTATAACTGTTGCTAACATACCTCCAGGTTGGGGGGATGTGTGTGTAAGCAACCTCCACCCCTTATCCCTTGGTCCTAATAACAAACTGAGGTACAATTTCACCAAACTGAAATCAGGAAAACCAGTGAGTTTATTGGACTTATTTATAGAGCAGTGGGTGAGTGTTACTTACAGGATTGTAAGTGCTCCCCCTCTAAGGCTGCAATGGAAAGTCTCCTTCCAAACATGGATAGTGGCTTCCCCATAGTCTGGTAAAATGGTGAGAGAGAGCCCTCCCCAGGCTCCCCCATCCTACATACTCGTAGCCCTTCCCCTAGGCCAACCAGAGGGGACTGGTTGGTGAGAAGGTGTGGCTGGACTCTTAGATGAGGGTCCTGTGACTCTCCCTGCCCTTCCTTTCTGGGATGTGGTAGTTAACAAGCTCAGCTGTGATGATCCTAGGCAACCTGGTGCAACACAGCTTAGAAAGCTGACATCTGTCTGGTGGAGGTCAGCCCTATACAAAAATAGCTATAGATCAGAAGACTTGGAAAAGAGATTTCAAATTGTTTTCTTCACAAAAAAGAAAAACAGAAGAACAGGAGTCTTACAGTGTTGAAGAAAACTCTTGTTTGGAGCAAAATTAATCCCCAAGTTTCATAAGCAAGAAATAATAGAACATCATCTCTTTTGTTACTACAGTTATCAGAATGGCAGTTTCTCCATTAAGGTAGGAAATACAGTCTGGGTAGATTAGCTGTGCTCTACAACTTAAAGCAGAGACTTAGAAGGTTTTACTACCTGGCCACTCAGAAAGATTCAGCTATGAATGGGGAAGTCAGCAGGCAAGAACCTTGATTCTGGAGAGTTCTTCAAAGCGAGGTAAAAGAGAAGGCAGGGAGTAAGTAAATAGTAGCTGATAGAAGGTCTGGTTTTAGAAAATGCCTGCATTTCCCTAATGTGCTTCTTTGAATAGTCCTTTTCTTTAAAATCTTCTGCTTGTTGGTAGTAGGCTAGTAGCAGTTTTGATTCCTTTTAGTTGTTTTTATTGAGTTCTATTTAACAAAGCCACTAAAAGTATGTTATTAAAAATACACAAGGAAATGAAATCTTCTATCTGTTAAACAAGCTTCTGAAAAACTTGATGGCACTCAGGTACAAAAATAATTCCTGTACCTGGAAAGATTAAATTAGCCTCATAATTAGTTCATGGGTGAAAAAACAAACACAAATTACAGTAATGACCTTACTCATCTGAAGGTCCAATTTCTTCAAAATTCAGATCCCCTAAATACATTTATATTTTTCCCAGGGACCAAGACTGAAGCATAGTTCCAAAGTAGTATAAAATTTTCTTAAATATTACTAAATATTTTCAAAGCTTTTGTGTAGTCTCAGAACTAAGAGGAAGACAAGTGTGTTTGTAGAGGAATATGAGACTGACATTAGACCTTATCCAGGCACTTGAGCCTGGGGTTAGGTGGCAGATGTGAGGCTGCCAGGGCCTTGATATCGGCAGAGGACAGTGGCAGCTGTCTGTGGAAGGTGAAGAAAGAACCTAAGAAAGCAAGGGCTGGAGTGGCTCCAAGAGTGAGGAGCCAAAACTAGCATGACTCATTTTGCATTCTAGCAGGTGACTCTGACTGTAGGACTGCATTTTTGAGACAGAACTATGTGTTTTCTTTTCCTTTTATTTAGGTCTTTTCCTACCAGCTATTGGGAACAGTTCCTTAGACAAGTTCAAAAGGCACCAGAAGATAGGAAGGAAGAGAAAAATCAGGAAAGGCGGGGTATTGTTGGAAACAGAATAGACAAGATGGCAAATAACCTAGGGCATAGGGTAGGGTAGCAGGAATGTCCAGTCTTTACACATTGGAACACAATGTTTTCATCTACAAATGTGTTGGGCCACGTTCATAGCTATCATGGAATGCATGAAGCCTGCAGGTTGAACATGCCTGGTGGAGACTATAGAGTCAGTAGATATCTATATGCTTCTGGCCCTCACTTACAGCTAGTTCAGTCTATAGAAGGGAGATTTCTCATTAAGAAAATGTATATTTAGCTGGACTTGTTGGCACACACTTTTAAACCCAGCAGTTAGAAGACAGATGCAGGTGGATGTTCATGAATTCAAGGTCAGCCAGGGCTACATAGTGAGACCCTGTCTCAAGAGAAAGAAAGAGCATATTTAGCCAAATTTAAACTAAATTATTTTCCACCAAAGTTAGTTTTACCCTCAGAGATTGTACACAGCAAGTCATGGTCAAGCCTGCTTTTAATATGCTCTTCTGGAAAGTTCTCCTCTGTGCCCTATGTACTTCGAGAGCATACTTCTTAAAGATTTATTTATTTATTTTTATGTTTGAGTGTTTTATAGGGATGTGTGTAAGTATACCAGTGTTGTACGTGCTCATTAAAACCAAATGGTGTTGGATTCCCTGGAACTGGAGTTATGGATGATGTGGGTGATGGGAACTGAATCTGGGTCTTCTGCAGGAGCATTTAGTGCTCTTAACCACTGAGCCATCTCTGCAACCCCGGGAGCATACTTTTTGAGAGACACTGTTTTAGGATCATTTTTATCTAACTTCTCTCAACTGTTAACATTAAACTAGATGTGGTTATGAGAAATAAAGATAATTGGATGTGAATTTAAAACCAACTGTATTTCTTTTTTCCTTAGAGAAAGGAGAACTGAAATTGAATTTTAAATCAGCTTGCAACTTACTTGTTTGTCAATTTTGGCTGGGTGTGGTGGTACACATCTTTAATCCCAGCACTTCACTTAGGAGGCAGAGGCAGTTGGATCTCTGTGAGTTCAAGGCCAGCCTCGTCTACATAGTGAGTTCCAGGCCAGCTGGGGCTACAGAAAGACCCTGTCTCAAAAAGACACACACACACACACAAAAAAAAACAAACACACACACACAAAAAAAAAACAAACAAAAACCCCTACATAATTATCTAGGTGCTGTAGTATATACTAACACCAGTACTTGGGAGGAGGCTGATGCATGAAGATTGTGAATGAGTTCAAGGCCAGCCCAGGCTACATAGTAAGATCCAGTCTCAAATAATAAATACCAATTTTTAATTGTTAGCTAAGTCCTGATTATTCGTTCTCAATAGAAGTTAGGATAGAAGTTAAGACAGTGAAAAAGAGTAACCCCCAAGTTAGTTAGTTAGTCTTTAACTAGAAATATATTCAAAGCAGACTTAGAAAAGTGTATTCGTAGTCACTCATTCTTATTCTTTTCCTTACCTCGTCCATATCAGAAATTAGTGTTTCTTTTCAAAGCATAAGAAGAGGAGGTTTGTAGAGTGACATGTAATGGGGAGGGGGCTGGGGTGTGTGTGTGTGTGTGTGTGCGCACATAGAGCATGTCTATAAAGCAAATCACTGATCTAAGAAAGAAACCTGAAAAGTAGATGTAGACAATACAGGAGTCAGATGGCAATTTAAAATTATAAACCAATGTGAATCAGGAAACAGAGTTTAACACTACTTGCTTTTCTAAGGTTCCTTGTCTTAATAGTTCACAGGGAGTCTAGATCCAGCCATATGTCCTTTGAATAAAAGACAGACAGGGATTTGGCCTGACCTGCAACTTACAGCAGTAGTCCTAGCTGACTATATAGTAAAAGCAGTCAGGAGGAAGAGAGATGGAACTATTAGAGGCTAGAGTAACAGTCTGATATGGAAGGCAGAAAAGAACTTTAAAGCAGACAGTGAATCATATTACTGTATGTGGTGTTGGTGGATGTTCATGTTGGCGATGACCCTATCTGTATCATTAAGAAAGATTAAATTATGTTTTATGGCCTTTTACGATGGTGGGTAATGGTGTAGTAAAAAATGGTTATTGAAGAGATACGTTCTCATTATCCAGAACGCTGACTTATGTGGAAGGAAACTATCTGAGTGGGGTCAGATAAGAGAGACATTACAACATAGTTTTTTCTTTTTGGCAATTCATTTTACAGTAGAACCCACTGACATTTATTCTGGTTAATGAATATTGTTCTAGTTTGTTTCTTCATTGCTGTGATAAAATACTCTGACCAATACCAACTTGGGGAGGAAAGAGTTTATTTCGGTTATATCTCCCAGGTCACAAGGAGTCCAGGGTAGGAACTCAGGGCAGGAACCTGGAGGTAGGAGCTGGAGCACAGGCCATAGAGGATCACTGCTTACTGACTTGCTCCCCTGGCCCCTGCTCAGCCTGCTTTCCTATGCAATGCAGGCCCACCTTCCCAGGTGGGAACAATTAACAATCAAGACGATGCCCCATGGATATGGCCACAGGCCAGTGCAATGAAGGCAATTCCCCAATTGAGACTCCCTCAACCCAAGTGAGTCAAGTTGACACTAAAGCTATCCAGCACAAATATAATCAAATTATGTAGTGTATCTACAGGATGTGGTTAGCATTTTGATAAACTTTTCTACATTATGCCATATTTCTGGCATTATCATCTGTTTTAAATTTTTAAAAATTGCCTGCATGTATATAAATGTACCCATACACGCAGTACCCACGGAGGCCAGAAGATGGTGTTGGATCCCCTAGAACTGGCATTACTGATGGTTAGCTGCCCTGTGGGTGCTAGGAGCTGAACCCCAATTCTCTTCAAGAGTAGCTAGTGTTCTTAACTGCTGAGCCATCTCTCTACCCCATATTATTATCTTTTAAAATACTTATTAAATAGCATTTATCTAAATGGACAAATATATATAGACATTTCACAAAACTCACTTATACATTTAGCAAAACATTGTCAATATAATTACAGTTCTAGAATATAAACTGTATCTTTCAATATATGAAGCCCCAAAATGACGTATAATTAGTAACTTGAACTAGTAAAATGTTTATTTATTTTGCAGTGATAGGATCAAGCATGAGGTATAATGCATCAAGACAACATCCCACCAGTGAGCTACATACGTTTCCAGCCCCTTATAAAACTTTTAAGGATTCCTAACTTTGGGGGCTAGGGAGCACTGGCAGCTCTTGAAGAGGACCCAGGTTTTGATCACCAGCATCCACATAGCTGCTAGCAACCATCTATTACTCCAGTTCTAGGAGAATCTGACATCCTCTTCTAACCTCTGCAGGCATTGCATAACACCAGTACACCTATGTACATGCAGGCAATACATTCATACACATAAAATATTTTTTTAAAGGAATATGCCTAACTTTATCCTAAGGCTTGCAAGGTAGTGGTGAGGCTGCAGCTAAGGGACTATGTTAAGATAGAATATATCTGATGTCATGCAATGCTTGTATATATTTATTTATCAGCTTCTAGACTTAGGATTTATTGAAAAATACTGAGTCTGGTAGTTTTTCAGACAAAAGTTGTTCCAAATCCTTTTATAATATCTGCAGACTTAAAACTTAATCATTGCACTGCCATTTTGCATCTACTTGCTCCAAAAGAATTCACTCTTTCTGATAATATCATTTCATTCTGTCAGATCTGAGTATTATGACCTGTTAGAGTATCAATTAAATGCTTCAGTAATTAAATTAGTAGTGGCATTTAGAAAAGTTTTTGCTTAACCCTGAATGTGCCAGGCATGATAGTGCAAACCTGGAATGTGAGCACTTGGAAGGCTGAGGAAGGGAGATCATCAAACTCCCATCAAGAGAGAATACATTGCTTGCTGAATTGAGTTCCTTCCTAAATTTATCTTCATCAGGAAGTTTATAAGTAAATGTTTCTTTTATTCAGCCTCCAGTCTGTTATAAGATGATGCAGTTATTTCATATTACATCCTTTACTATATATGTATTTATTATTATTATAATGTGGATATGTGTGTACATGTTGTGTATTTGTGAGTGCACATGCCACGGTGTGCATGTGGAGGTCAGAGGAATTGGTTCTCTCTTTCCACCTTTATATGGGTTCCAGGGATCAAATTCAGGTTGCCAGAGTTGCATGAAAAGCACCATAGCCCACTGAGCTGTCTCGCTGGTCCTATATGTGGTTTGCTTGTTTCTTTGTGTGTGGTAGATCTCATTTATCCCAGGCCGGCCTCAAACTCTATGTAGTTGAGGATGAGCTGATCTTTCTGCTTCCACCTCCTCAGTGCTGAGATTACAGATGTGCACAACTATGCTCTATAGATTTATATGTTGCTGGGGATCAAATCCAGGGCTTTGTGTATGCAAGGCAAGCTGCTCCTCACCCCGTGTGTTCTTAGTACACTTGTTGTACTTTTTATGTTGCTTTCCTGAAAAGTATTTTTATATAAATGTTGGAATTATGCCCACTAATTATAACTAAGGAAATGTAATACATTTTTACAACAACTTGTTTTTCCTTTCATAGATATATGGGCAATAGGTTGTATATTTGCTGAATTGTTGACTTCAGAACCCATTTTTCACTGTCGTCAGGAAGATATAAAAACAAGCAATCCTTTTCATCATGATCAATTAGACCGGATATTTAGTGTCATGGGGTTTCCTGCAGGTAATTTATTTACTTTTTCAAAATCTTATTTTGAGATGTATTTCAAAAGCATTTCTTTGTAAAAGTTGTATAAATTATGTTTTATGTATTTTTTAAAGCTAAAAAAAATTAGGAGATTTTTAGTAAACTTATTTTCTATAATAATATTCAAATTTTTTTGTAAGATAAAGACTGGGAAGATATTAGAAAAATGCCAGAATACCCGACACTTCAAAAAGACTTTAGAAGAACAACGTAAGTAATTCCAGATTATCTTGGTCCATGTATGCTGGGAAAAACAAAAGAAAAATCCTCAGTGACTCATGAATAATAGAAATGTATTTTCTCATAGTCACAGAGGCTTGAAGGTCCAAGATTAAGGTGTTGGCAGGTTTGGTGTCTGGTAAGGGCTCTTCTCTACTTCCAAGATGATCTAGTTGCTGTGGTCTCCTGTGAGGAGAGGGCAAAAGTGTGTGTATATAGAGCGTCTTTTATGAGACATTAATGCCATTCACAAGAGCAGAGCCCTCTATGACCTAAACACTGAAAGGCACCACCTTTTAATACTTGGGTACTGGAGATTAGGTTTCAACATGAATTTTTTAAATGACAGAAATATCTAGATAATAACTAGTATGATTGTAAGTAATTTCAGTAGGAAAATTTAATCTTAAAAACAGGCATAGATTTAAACCAGAGATACAGATTTTAGCTTAATCTATGATGCCTATACTTTAAAGAATATATTTTAAATGCTAATATACCCAATTTATGAATATTCTTTTTAAAATATTTTTATTATTTTATATGTGTGAGTGTATTGCCTGCATGTATGTGAATACACCCATGTCATGCAATGCTGTGGAGGCCAGAGGGCGTTGAATTCCCCCAGAACTGGAGTTAAGGACAGTTTGTAACCGCCATGTGGGTGCTGGGAATCAAACCTGAGTCCTCTGCAAGAACATTCAGTGCTCTTAACTGCTGAGCTATCTCTCCAGCCCCAATATATACCCAATTTTGACTGTGTTATTTAAAATATTTTAAAACAATCTTTCAGTTTAACTTGATACAAGTCTTATTTAAGGCCACAACTGTGGTTTTTATTCTTATGTGAGTACTGGCTGGTGACTGAGATGCTGTAGTAGAAAACCAGGAAGACTGGCAGAAGGAAGAGCACATGATCCAGGGTCTGAATAAAGCAAACAGGTGGAGATATGGATATTGAGAAGTGAGGGGAGAGCAAAGGCCAGGGCAGGATCGAAGCTGGTTATTAATATGTATACCTGGAAGAAAGGAGAAAAGAGAGTCTCTTAGGGCAACTTACCCTGAAAATTTTAGGACAAGGTGGCTTGTGGGAACAAAAATAGGTATCATAAAAGAAATAGAGAATGGCATTGCTCATGTCTGTCCCCTCTTCTGAATAGTTCTTGGGAAGACTCCTTCTCTATACCTTAGGATAATACTGATCTCAAATTTTTGTCCACAGAGCCATCCCTCCAGCCCCATACCCCACATTTTTGATGGCCCTAGTTTTCTACCAATTAAGCTGATAACTTCTAATTTTTACAGCTTAAGCATCTCTTATTTCTGCCTGGGAGATGGCTTAATGTGTAAAAAACTTATAATGTAGGCCTAATGACCTCAGTTTGGATCCCTGAAACCCATGTACAACCTGGATGTGGTTTATCCTCTGACTTCCACACTTATACTGGGCACATGCATGCCCCCTGTTGGGGTCCTCTGTTATGCAAGTAGAAGTCTCTTCACGTCCGGATAGCTCACGAGCTCAGAAACCATGTGCTGCAGATTCCTTTAATAGCAGAGTGCCTTCCTGGCATCCTCCCTGACTCTTCTTTTAAAGTGTTCACCACAAATACATGCCCTCCGGCACAGGAGCTACCAGGTTTT